TTTGGGACTCCTCAGCAGTACGCACCCACCGGGATTCGAACCCAGGACCTTCTGGTTACAAGGCGAGCTCGTAGACCATTGAGCCACTGGGACCCGATCCAATGGTCCTTGAATTCTAACTTCCACCAATTCACGACATAGCGCGACTATATATATATATATATATATATATATATATATATATATATATATAAAAACAACAAATATATATATATATATAAAAAAAAAAATTATTTTTTATTAGTAAAAAAAAAAAATATTTTTTTTTTTATAAATAATATCTATAAAAAAAAAAAAACAAAAATATTTTTTTTTAAAAAAAAATAAAGAACAATCGTTGGGGCCCGCGGCGCTGTATTGTTCGAGTACGCGCCCTCTTTACAAAAAGGTCGGGGTGTGGTCCCCCGGGGGGGGGGGTGTGCTGGGGAGCCCAAACAAAAGAAAAAACGGCCGCCCTATACTCACCCCGGTTTTTTTTGTGGTTTTTTTCTAAATCACACCCCATTATAAAATCCCCCCCCAAAAAAAAAAAAACAACCACAAAAAAAAAAATTAAAATGTATTAACTGAGTTAGATTAATAGAGTTTGTTTCAATGAAAACCGTCATCATTAATAAATGAAATGGACTTGTGAATAACTTAGTTGTTTTGCAAATAAATTAAAACAAACTGATGGCCAGCTGAAAGTAAGGAGAGTAAAAAACACAGTAACTTGTTTTTATCATACCTAACAAGGAGAAGGAGAAGACTTAACAATGTGCCTAATAGCTGAAATTTAAAGTGCCAAATTGTAATAAAATGCTCTATAGAGAGTAAGTAAATAAGAATTGCTCTTTCAAAAAGCGTTATTGACACCTATCTGGATACACTTTCATAAACATAAAGTTGTCTTTAAAAGTGATATATATCCATGTAAAATGTGTGTTTTGTTTGACAGTCCGATATATTTTGCTATGTATATATGGATCGATATTCCATTATAATTAGCCAATCATGTTAAGACTGTCTATTGATTTGTTCATTTTGGATATTCGCTCACACACTTGTTCGGACATTCATATATATTTTTGCTCTCACACTCTTGTGGGACACATTGATTCTCCTGGTGATTGGAAAATAGAAGTATCATCGCAAACCTAGTGGTCTTCTGATTTCCGTCTTTCTTGCGTCAGGACTATTAAATTCTCGACCAGTACATAACAATAATTTGGCGACGAGTACATAATAAAAAGTAACATGAGAATGAAATCTGTAATATTCCTCTGAAGTCTGGATTAGTGATATATATGTGGCCAACATCTTTCGAGAGCTTATAAAAAAGAATATTTGCCAGTATTATATATATATATATATATATATATATATATATATATAAACGATCTGTTGCCCGGCCCTTGTCTTCTGCCTTTACAACAGAACCATAACGTCATGTTCAAATGAATTGTTAAGTCAATATACACAATTATTTATTATTTATTCATATCGCTGCAGAAACTTCAACAAATAAATAATAAATAATTGTGTATATTGTCTTAACAGTTCATTTGAACATGACATTATGGTTCTATTGTAACGACAGAAGACAAGGGCCGGGCAACAGATCGTTTATTGAGAAAATCAAGAGATATGCAAAGATTTTTATGTATATTATTATCAGAGGAGAAGTAACGTCTCCTGATTGGTTGTTTTCTTGCTGAAGGTTATTCTGTACTGTTTGTGATCATTTCTTAGAAAGTTAAGCCATATGTCTGCAAGTCGTATTTGCACACGTTAGGTCTTCTGTGATTGGTTGGTGAGTTCCTCAAGGTTAAGCTTTGTTTTAGTTTTTTCTCATGACCCGATTCGGGGCGTAAATATTGACGTAAATTGTAGTCTACAATTTTGACTTACAGGAAGCTCTCACCACACTATTAGGAAACCCTACGACAATATGGAGGTCTGAAACCCGGAAGTGTTTGACTCTCCTAAAGTGGAAAAAGCTTTAGTGTGTCACTAAATGGTCTGATTTTGTTTGGATAAAAGTATGCGTTAAACTGATTTGTTTAATGATAAAGCGTTGAATCCCATACTATTGAGCCAAGGACACTGGAAACCACAGTTTTCTCATCCTTCAGTTTGAACTGTCGATTTTCACTGTTTCATACATAAAGGTCATTTGCGCTGCTTTATTTTCCATGATAGTCCTCACTGCTATAAGACGTCATGACACAAGCATTTTTACTCAACTGTAAAAATCTTCAATCTCTGACCGATACAGATGTATCTGTAAGCGGGAAGCATGTAAACTTCATTTCGAGTTTTTAAATTTCAGAGTTGTAATTGCCTACTCTAGATAGTATTCTTCAACATGGTTTGTAAGACGGTGGTGATAAATTTGACTGAAAAGTGTATTATTCTCTGTCAAAATAGCAATCATTTCCGCTGTTTTATAGTTGTGAATTTCCACCTAAACATACTTTACTTTTGTCTTCCAGACATTCATTATTCACTAATGGGAAAATTGGTGTTTAGGTCTATCAAAAGGCGTGCCAAGAAGCACTTCACTAAGTAACAAGATGATGAATTTATGTAACATTTATATGTATTCGAAAAATCAACCGTATTCACTGTAATACTTCTACATTTTTAACAAATTTTTCGGAGTAATGGTCTACTAAGTGTGTTGGTGGCATATCGGTTAGGACGCTCACTGAACATGCACATGGTCCGGGGTTCGATTCTTGGCCACAGACGCATTCCTTTACCTCGCTAAGCCAGAAATAATCCTGGTAAAGAGGAAAGGTTGGCCATGAGGCTAGCAATCCCATCCTGTGAAATAAATAAAGCTACAGAATCTTCAAGCCCTATGTTCCACTGGGGAACGTGAAGGGAAAAGAAAGGCCTACCCAACAAAATTATTTGAATATGTACTTCTGAATGAATAATGCAAGAACATTCATTGATTTATAGCCTTAAAATTTGAGCAGGAAGCTGGTGAATCAATAAATATTAGGATAGTTTCGTTTCAGGACTTCTTTTCCTGAGATGTGTTGAATCACATCATCTAAACAGTATCTTTAATGTAGTTATTCGAAGAAACATTTTCATACCCTTCAAACTTTTCAGATTATTTTGATTCTAGCCCCTTGTGCAACACTCTTTTTCATTCTACTCGACTACCTGTCTTTCTTGACTGATGCATCAACTAAGCCTTTATGCAGTGACACTTTGATTAATTACAAAAAAAGACAACAACTAGTGTTCATGATTTATTGCTTTTTCTTGAAATAGTTTAATTTATTTAAGAGTAGAAATTATTAATCTAAGTAATGAATAATTGGAAGGTTTTGAAAATTGTTTTACAGTGTGCTTTCAAGGCTAATTATTATCATCACTATTGTTTCTACTGTAGATAGAAGCTTACAGGATTATTTTGATATGCTATTGGCAAAAAGTGCTTTTAATTTGAAATTTATAAATTTTAACCAAGTTGTAGCTCTTGTCTGTATTGACAAACTTGTGCTTTGTGTAAAACAAATGAAAGTTCAAACAAAGCATGATAGCTTGTTCTACTCCAAAGTTATACTGAATGGATTATTATGTCTAGCTTAACACAGTAACATTAATTAGTCGATTATTGATAATAAGCTGACATCAGTTAAAGAACTACTGGAATATCACAGCTGTTTCGTCCTGGTTTGGGACTCCTCATTAGTAGGCATTTAGCTGAAACTTGAAGCAAATCCCTAAAACTAACTCTCGAAAATTAATCTGATGCCCGCTATTGACTGGCTACAACACAAAGTTCCCTGGAGTTCAAAATGATAAGTCGTAATCAGTAAAGTTTACTATTTGCTGCCTGAGGACAAATACTCGTCGATGAGATTTTCCGGTGGTCGTGCTCAAATCATAAACTGGTGGAATTTGAAAACTCACGGGCAATTGTGAATTCAGCTGCAATGGCTGAATAATCTGTGAGCTTGTTTTATAACAAGAAGATCCTGTGTTCGAGTCCCAGTAGGCGCGCAACGCTGACGAGTCCAAAATCAGGACGAAATAGCTGTTTAGTACTCCCTGGTTCTCAGTGGTCCTCTAACTGATGTCGAACCTTGGTCAAACTGGAAACTAACCAAATCCTTATTGACTAACTCTTGAAATTCAAGTTAGTAGGTTACTGAATTGTTTCAACTGACAGTTAAGAAAGCTGGTTATTGAAAGAAGTAGTTGCTATTATCACTGAATCATGAGAATCAAAGAACCTGAAAGTTTTGTATCAGAGATGTGTCTATGAGTAAATTGTTATTAGATCACAGTTCAAAACACTAGTAAAATAAATACAGATTAATTGGATAGACTAAAAGTAAATCCAGTATTACATTCTGCCAGGCCAATGTTTTATTTAGAATTTGTCACAGGTAACCATCTGCCATTTTTGATCATTGAGGTTAGATATTTATGTAAATTTCAGTAATTCCCAACTCATTTTTGAGCTGGACAACCGTTCTGTGCTAAATTAGAACTCTTAAGAAGTATACACCCGATATTCCACCAAAGATCAAAGTCAGGACCATCCGAACACAAAGGCTTTCTCGTCTCCAAAAAGACCAAACAGTTTGTGTTCTCAAAAAAACAAATGCTGAAATTATTCGTCCAATTTATCTTCCCTATTATAACAGTAATACTTCTGCAGCAGCATCACTATCCAGGCAGTTTGTTTTGAGAATGCATAGACTTGGTATTAAGAAAGAAATTAATCTTGGATATCCATTGGGTAATTTATGTCTGTAGTAGTATTTATATATAAACAGTAAGGCGGAGATAACTAATCACTTTTCAATGGGTAAACAGAAATACGGAAGTATGATAGAAAATTAAATTAATAGTTTATAAGCCAACAAAGCCAAGGTTGAATCTGGGTTGAAATTGTGTCCTCTGAATCTAATCGTTTAACAATAAAGATTTCGCTTTTAGTAATAATCACTTTACTATAAATATTATTAATAATTTTAACATTGAATTACCTGATATTGCAAACCCACTGAATCCGACGGCTAACACAAGACATACTAATGCTGACGTAATCGTTTTTGAATAACCGACACCAATGAGGAAAACCGCTTCAAGTCCAAAGCCTATGAAGAAAAACGGCAAAAAATGTAATAAAAATAATAGCGAAAACTTCTATGGGATATTGAATAGAGCTGAAATAAGGTTTACCATTAAGTATATTCAAATAATGCATTCATTTGACAAGTAAGCCAACTCCGCCTCAAAATTCAAGCTTTCACAATCTAGGAATTTGCATCAAAATGGTACCTGAAACACAGTATTTGACTTCTGGTTAACTAATCAAGCTTTTTATCACTTTAGAGGGATTATCATTCATTTGACTGAAGATGCCTATTAAACATTTTAAAAACTGATGCATGAATCAAGAATAGTGGTTGGACCTGTTTCTTTTGAACTCAGAGCTTTGGTTGATTTAGGCGAATTTTAATGGCCTCTGCTTTTTGAAGTGTTCAGCAATGAGATGTCTTTAGTAATTTATTCAATACCCGGCACATGGATATAGAAAGACTGTTCAATACTAGCTTTGTGACCTGTTTGGAAGAGGTGATCTAACATAGAACAGGAAGGTACTAGGTTCGAACCCCAACGGGTGCATACTGATTAAAAGTCCCAACCTAAGACAAAACAGCTCTTCAGTACTTCCAGGTTTCCCAACACCTCTCTAACCAAAGTCAGTTCATGATGAAATGTTGCAACTATTCAAGTCTTTGCAAACCAACACTTGGATAATATAGAGCTGTTGATGGTTTTTACAACATGTTTATTTAACCACACTGGCAGATGTTCCGAGCAGGAAAAACTAAGTTCTTACAGCAATGGACAATAAAGCTGGTTTCACAGGAGCAGTTGAATCGATGAATACAATAAGAGGTGGACAGCCTGGTTACTTCATCCTTCAGTTTTGGGGTCACAGCCGGTTGTGCGGAAAATATAAGCCGTAGCATACCCGACATTAGGCCTTCTTCGATCTAATTTTCTCAACTTGTAAGTTATTATTTCACTTGGTATGTCACCTTTGGACTGTAGTCGTATATTTATATGTTGTAGCGGCATTTTGATAACAGACACAAGAGAATTATTTTCTACTGTTTTTTGGCTACCTGTTTGTTTAATGATGAACTTTTCAGGGTAACTGTTTTCAATTCACTTATCGTATACAAGCTTAAGTCAATCAAAATAATTTTATCTTCAACTGCTTTGTCCAGAATGTTTCGTGGTAGAGATAAAAACACATTACCAGTTCCACTTAGTTTCATTTGATAGCCTGTCAGAAAAAACTATTTCGGGATTGTGCTGAGAAGATAAGTGAGCGTTTGCTACTCAACAATCAATAATTCCGGTGTAAGGAGGCCTTTTATCTACTGAAAATACTTAACATTTAACCTTGTAAAAAGCTGATTAAGCTACACCATCTATTCATACAATTGTCGTCCAATATTTCTTATGGATCGAAATGTACATGAAAATGAAATAACGCAAATAATTCTCGAAGAAAACTGATATCCTTTTAGTCGTAGACAGAGAATATTACATTTAGTCAATCACTCAATTGGTGATCGGCCCACAGTTGTGTGTGTGTGTGATGTAACATTTTTTAGATTGATTATGCCTTTAATGTTACATGAAAGGAATAGTTAAATTCCGAATTTAGTAGGCTACCATTCACACGCGAATTAGTCATTGTGTTATGTAACATAAGATTCGTTACACTGATTATTCACTCATTTTTATTGAGCGTATATTTATTCCATACTGACATTAACTCAGCCTGATTAAATGATTAAAAGGACTTTAGGTTTTTTAAGTTTTGTTAATGAGAAAGCTGAGAATTTAGTTTCTGTATTTTGGACTTTCAGTCATTGGTTAGGTTCTTTCTGTATTTTCTGTTGATTAATTTTTATCGTACCAAAGTCCTCGGAGTCCATTGATAAGTGGGATTCCAGTACAGACTCTTCGACGATATCTAAAGTTCAACACAGTGTTATTTGGTATAGCTTATAGAAATAGAAATGTTGTTCTCATTGTTTGTCCGTTATTTTCTGATTTTGAGGGGAGCAACCCAAAAAGTTGCTTCTCTCTAAACTTTTACTTAATGTAATCATTCTTTTCTCAGGCGTGAGGCTAGCAACCCCACCCTGTAAACAAAATTGCTACAGAACCTTCAGCAAAATGAACCTCTTTGCACCAAAAGAAAAAGTCTGTGTAGGAACATGGAACGTCCGAACTATGTACGAGACTGGAAAAGCTGCCCAGATCGCCAACGAGATGAAAAGATACGGAATACAAGTGCTGGGAATATGTGAGAGCAGATGGAATGGGAGTGGACTCACCAAATTGTCAACAGGTGAGTCAGTGATCTACTCCGGTCACCCAGAAGATAACCACACGCACACCGAGGGCGTGGCTATCATGATGTCACCAACGGCAACGAAAGCCCTGATACAATGGGAGGCGATTTCGTCCAGGATAATGACCGCCAGGTTCAACTCCAAAGGAAGGAAAGTGTCAATCATACAATGTTATGCACCCACAAACAACGCAGACCTCGAGAAGAAAGAAGAATTCTACAGGCAACTACAGGCAACAATGGACAATACTCCAGCTGGCGACATGAAAATACTAATGGGAGACATGAACGCCAAACTGGGACCAGACAATACGGGAAGGGAACTCATCATGGGTAGAGAAGCTCTAGGAGAAATGAATGAAAACGGAGAACTCTTCGCCGACTTCTGCGCCTTCAACGAACTGGTGATTGGTGGCAGTGTATACAAGCACAAAGATATCCACAAGGCTACATGGGTGTCACCAGACGGGCAAACCAAAAACCAAATCGACTTCATCTCAATCTCAAGGAAGTGGAGGCGCAGCCTACTGGACACAAAAGCAAGAAGAGGAGCAGACGTTGGCTCAGACCACTATCTCGTACAAGGGACAATCCAAATCAAATTAAAAGCTTTCAGAGAATCAGGAGCTGCAGATAGACCACAAGCCAAGTTCAACACTCAAAAGCTGAAGGACCAGGCTACAAAGGACATCTTCATTGCAAGCATAAAGGACAAAGCCGAGACACAAATCAACACTAGCGAAGAGGTCGGCGTTGAAAAGCACTGGAACAACTTGAAAACGGTGTGGAGCCAAACCTGCATAGAAATTCTAGGCAGAAAAAAGAGACAGGACAAACAGTGGCTCACTACGGACACTTGGAAACTAATAGAAGAGAGAAGGACAGTGAAGCAAAAGATTATCCAGTGCTACGACGAGCAACAAAAACAGGAGCTGAATGCAAGCTACAATACACTGAACAAAAGAGTGAAGAAAAGTGCCAGGGAAGACAAAAGAAAATATTATGAAACCATGGCAAACGAAGCAGAACAAGCTGCAGGCAAAGGAGACCTCGCCACACTCTACCAAACAACTAGGAACCTTTCGGGCAAACGTTCGACACAGATTAAGCCAATAAAGGACGACAATGGAAAGTCAATCACCAAAGAGGTGGAACAGAGAAAGCACTGGGTTGAACACTTCAAAAGACTTCTAAATCGTCCGCCACCTACAACACGTCCAGCAATACCAACAACGGAAGCAGAACTACCAGTGAACACTGACCCCCCGACGAAATCAGAAGTCCTGAATGCAATCAAGATGCTTAAAACTGGGAAAACACCGGGACCAGATGGAATCCCAGCAGAGGCTTTGAAAATAGACCCAGAGACAACAGCGGACTTGATGACACCACTACTGGAGAAGGTGTGGAAAGAGGGCAAAGTACCCGAGGATTGGAAGAACAGTTACTTATTCAAACTTCCAAAGAAAGGAGACTTAAGTCAATGTAAAAACTGGCGTGGAATTATGCTTCTGTCCATTCCAAGCAAGATACTAAGTCGCATCATCCTGGAGAGAATCAAACAAGCCCTAGATGAAAAACTTCGTCCGGAACAGGCTGGATTCAGGAGAAACAAATCATGTATTGATCAAATCGCCACTCTACGGATCATCATTGAACAAAGCTTGGAATGGCAGTCACCTCTCTATCTCAACTTCATCGACTTTGAAAAGGCCTTCGACAGCGTCGATCGAGAGGTCATTTGGAAACTACTTCGCTACTACGGGGTCCCATCGACAATTATACACCTCATCCAACAGTTATACGACAATGCTGCATGCCAAGTAATCCACAACGGGAAACTTACGGAAGCCTTCGAAGTGAGGACGGGAGTGAGGCAAGGCTGTCTACTATCACCAATGATCTTCCTGATTGCAATTGATTGGATAATGCGACAGACAACGGCAACCAACGAGGGAACAGGCATAAAATGGACTGACACAAAAGACTTGGAGGATCTGGATTTCGCCGATGATATATGTCTGATTTCCCATAAACTGGAAGATATGCAAGTGAAAAGTAACAAGTTGGCAGAAGAAGCATCAAAGATAGGACTTCACGTGAACATAGATAAAACAGAGATGATGAAGATTCCTAGCCAACATCAACAACAACAACAGACCACAATAAGCATAAATGGGAAGAACCTGAAAGAAACAACCTCCTTCACCTACCTGGGAAGCATCGTCTCAACTACAGGCGGAACTGACGAGGACATCAAAGCCAGAATCGGAAAAGCAAGACAAGCTTTCATTACTCTCAAATCTGTGTGGAGGTCAACAGCATTCAGCATCAAAAATAAGATCCGGATTTTCAACTCCAATGTGAAGTCAGTGCTACTATACGGATCAGAGACTTGGCGAGTCATAAAGAGCATCTCAAACAAACTTCAAACCTTCATTAACAACTGTCTCCGCTCAATACTCAAGATCAGATGGCCAGAAAAGATCAGCAACAGGGATCTCTGGGAGCGAACCAATCAGGAACCGATTGTGAAACAAATAGGCAGAAAGAAATGGAGATGGATTGGCCATACGCTGAGGAAACCATCAAGTGACATCACTAGACAAGCCCTCGAGTGGAACCCGAAAGGGAGGCGGCGAGTTGGTCGTCCAAGGGTGACTTGGAGGAGGTCATGTGAAGAGGAGATGAAAGCATGTGGGCAGACCTGGAGCA